CATTCTTTGTTTTTAATTGACATATACCATTTGCGGGTGTTTGTGGGATACGGTATATGTGTCCAACGTGTAGTGATTAAATCAGGGTAACGGGTAGATTTATGTCAAGACCCACGGCTCCATGCACAGTGGTCAAGAGCCACTGTGTAATCAATTCCACTGCCTCAAACATTTATTGTTTCTCTCTAGTGGGAAACGGGGTCCCTGCAGCTCTTTGGAAGCATCTCATGAGGTGACGACTCCAGCGACCCACTATACACAGAAGGCCAGATGCATTTCCTCCCCCGGACATGCTGTGACTCTGTCATCTAACTCCTCTGTGTCCTTCCCTCCCGCTCTCCCCACTGTGTCTCCAGTGACCACTGTGCCGCTCTGTTCTACCAGGAGATCCATGTCCTCAGTTTGCACAAGGTGGTGAGAAAACAGAATGTTTATCTTTCTGTGCTGGCTCCCTCCACGCCTTTGAGATTATCTCTGTTCTCGAGAAATGCAACCGGTGTATTTTAGTATATACACTGCAGAAGCGAGCCGACACACAGTGTATTTCAGAGTTAAATATTTCCTCAAATGGCTCGGAGAAAGAAATGCGTGCATCTGCACCTATTTATGTATGCGTGTACACGTGTGTGTACGTAGAGGCAAACAGGGTAAAGCAAATAAGATTGGCTGTCAAAAATAGTTGTCACAAATGTGTCCTTCCTGTGCTCTTCCTGCAACTTATTTTTCAAGTTAAAGTTAAAAAAAAAAAAAACAAACCTTCTAAAGTGGAACAGTTTCTTCAGGCGTGCTGATGTGTGCCTGAAATCCTAGAGCTAGGGAAGCAGAGGCAGGAGGATTGGAGGATATTGGCGATCAGCCCAGGTTACAAAGTGAGTTCAAAGCCAGGCGGGACTCCATGGCAAGACTGGCTCCAAAAAGCTCCATACATGAACAAATAAACAAACAAATAAATTTTATATCCTAAAGAAAGGTTTAGAAGCCCGGCTAGCGCTCTTGCACGGGCATTCTTCTCCTTCTCCACTCTGAGAGGCAGTCTGGTGTAAGAACGGAAAGCTCAGCTTTGGGGCACGCACGCCTCTGTGTGCGTCCATGTTGTGTGCCTGGGTTTTCTCATCAGTCACCGTGGGCGTGAGCACAGGCAGGGTGGTTTGTGAGGAGACAGCAGGGACCGTGCTTCAGAGAAAAGAGGCCCAGGGGGAAGCTGAAGCCAGAACCAAATTGCTCTGAGGTCTGCAGGAGAGCAGCTTCCCTCTCTGGCTGACCAGGGCTTTTAACCACTGTGCAAGGAATCGTGGGTCTCAACTTAGATCTGCCAGTTACAAAACCGCCCTGACCAGGAGCTCACCGTGGTTCGAATGTTTGCTGCTCACAACACAAGAGGAAGTTAAATAAATGGTGTTTTGGAAAATTAATGTTTTATGTAGAAAAAGTAAAATTAGAGATTTTCTTTGCAGTAAAACCTTGGATTGTGAGCAGCTTGTTCTGTGGGTATTCCACAAGACAAGCGAACAGTCCTACTAAAATTTCACTTGACAGGTAAGGTCTCGCAACATAAGCAGTGTACCATGGGAAAGTCATATGACCACGGCTAAGCTGGTGCGTGATTGTGGGTGATGGTTCCCAACAGCAAAGGTTTGTGAAGGGCTCATCTGCAGAGGAAGACAAGAAGAAGAGTGCAAAGAGGAATCCCTCACTTCCAGTGAGATTAGGGAGATGCGTAAAATGCAGGAAACAGTGCGCAATTTTGTAGAAAATCCTGCCTGAATAGGGCTGTAACAGTGAGATCAACGAATCTACTAAGCAACATTGCAGTGTCTCTTTTCTGTAAAATCTTCAAAAAGAGACAAAAGCTCCTAGTTAAAGAAAAAGATTCCACTGAGCTGGTAGACAGCCACAATCCCATCAGTGTGCGTGAAAGTCAGCCCACAAAGCAGCCCTCCTCCCTCTTGTCTCCCTGACATTAGCCGCGAAGGTTTCCAAAGGCAAGTTCAGGTGCGTCTGTTCATTTCTCTCTGTATTTTGTATTTCCTTTATTGTGTTGTAGTATACTACAACATGGCAATCATTTTATATGAATATTTTGGGGCTGTAGGATGAATCATCTAAATGTTTCTATTATCTCTTGTGGGGAATTTGTTTTGATATCCATGTGCTTTGACTACAAGCATGTTTCCGGATCAAATTATGCTCACAAGCCAACGTTTTACAGTAAGTCAAAGCCCTGATCAGAAAGAAGGCAACCACTTTCAAGTAAGTTTTTAAAGGTTTCTTAAGCAAGACAGAAGCACCAAACCCACAAAAGGAAGACCGATGCATTTGATTCTATTACATTTAGAGAGTTCCGGGCAGCCACGGATGCCACAAAGATGAGAGATAAGGCCCATCCTGAGGGCAAGTGCTTGCCACATGTGCAAGAAAAGAGATGAATGGCAGCACAAAATCTGGAAGAAAGAGGCAGAATAGGACAGGTACAGAAAAAGAGACCCGGCTGCCTGATAAACAGAGGGAAATAGTTCTTCTCAGCAACACTTAGGAACACACAAACTGGAAACTTTGAGATCATCGTTTGCACCTCTCCACCTGGCAAAATTGGGGAATTCTGACAATACCAAGTGTTATTGCACACACAGGAGAAGAGATATGGCCCCTCCCATGGTGGACCAGGACCTAGTAACGGACCATGAAAAGAGACCCATGCATCCCCACGGGACAGAGCAGGCTCTTCCCTTCCAGGGGAGAGGAGACGGGTAGAAATGGGGAGGGGTTGAGAACCCTCTGGCTGCTGCTTGTGAACAACAAGGAGCACAGGTCCTGGTGATGGTCAGATCTGTGAGCCCAGAGGGCATGGGGTGAACTGGGAGTGGGGTGATTGTCCCCACGCTGGGTCCTGCCAGGGTCCCCCAGGCACAGTTCACGTAGATGAGGAAACCAGGCCACTTCTCAGTGGGTTACACAGTCTATGAAGGAAAAGTGGAATTTTTCTTAACTTGCTTTCAACAGGATGCCATATGATTTGTAATAGAAATTTATTGAAATTAAGAATGTGTGTGATCATTATGAAAAATTCCAACCACGCATCCCCTCTAGGTACCAGGAGCTGTTCACTGTGTCTCCATCCAATCTGCTTTTGGCTGGATCAGGTCAGCACACCCAGCTACCCTTAGTTAAGCCTGGCTCTGTAACTGTCACCCTGTCCCCTCCAGCCTGTCCACACTGGGTGGTAGAAAGTCACTTCTTTCATCTGTGTTGATTGGATAGTGTTTGAAACACTATAAGATCACCAGCTTGTTTAGATCCCTGCCGATGGCTTTTCCTATCTGTCCCCTACTCCATGGCTTCAGTATCCTGGCTAACACCACAGTAAACATGTTGGGGAGCTTGTACCCTATCATCTCAGGAGGATAAATTCCTTGAAGGCAACTTTCTGGGTACACATAAAAAGCTTACTTTTTGCTAATATTTGCCAAAGTGCCCTGTGGAAGGATGGGCCCCAGTATGGACTCCTGAGCCCAGCACTGGGAGGCCCCCATGTGTCCCACCTGTGCAGAGGACTGGGACTTTGTGAACAGACTTAACCCCTCAGTAGCGCACCACACAGGCAGCATCATGATCCCCATTTGCAGGTGCCTCAGCCGCTTACTGCTGGGATGCATGGCCTCAGTTTCTCAGGGCTACCAAATAGCAAGAGGAAGGCTTCAAAGGAGACCCACCCTCCTGCCACCTAGCATGTCCAGAGACAACACATCGACCCCCGCAGGGAGGCGTGCCTGGCCTGGGACACAGGTAACACTGACATCTTGACCAGAGCGCCAGTGGGAACCGCACAGGCAGTGTACTTTTGGCTCAGTAGCTGACACGTCAGAAACACTAAAACACTAAAACACATCCTTTCTTTGGATGTCAGAGCATTTAAAAAGCTTGTTTTCTGTAATCCTTTTATGAATTGCCTGCTTCTACAATTTGCACATTTTTCACTGGGTTTCAAATTCAGCCTCCTCTTTCCCTTGGGGCAGACTGGTTTGTGCATCTTCCTAGGTCAAAAGCAGAAGGCAGAGCTCCAACTCCTGCCCCCTTCAGCCCTCTGCTGGCCCCTGGGCATCCTGAGCTGATGCCTGGGGGCTCCTGCCGCCCCTCAGCACCAGCCGCAGGGCCGGTGTCCCCGTACAAAGTACAGGCTTCTGGCAGACATGCTGGCTTCTGGAGGCCACTGGCTTTACCTTTCCTGCTTCCTGCAGGCTTCGAAGGGGCCCTGGGACAGTTTGCACCTGTCCAGGATACAGGCAGCTGCTCCAGAGATGGAAGACGAGGCTGCCTGCAGAGCACTCGCTTTGGAGCACTGGGCAGTGCCGTCTGGAAAAGCTTCTCGCGGACACGCCCATGGCCTTTTTGGGGTCATGATGGATGTCCAGGGGTGCTGTGTGCAGCTGTACCCCCTCCCTCCTTCTCTGTGTGTACATGGTTCTGCCCATTTCACTGAATCCAGCTCCACCTCTCTGGATTTCCTTTCATCTGTCTGCTTCTCTGATTTTACATTTCTCCCTCTCTATCTGCGTCTCCTTTTCTGTTTTTCTCTGCCCCTTGTTTTGCAGCATTAACAATGTCCTGTAAAAACAGAGACACCTCTGATCACAGAGTCCCCTCTGCGCCTGGTGGTACTGATCCACATCAAGGCCCCCGCACTCCCCCAGCAAGGCTTGGCCTGCACCTCCATTCGCTTCATAACCCTGGAAAGCGAGCATCATCAGCTCCCTGGCTGGGAAGCTAGTACGGAGTCTCAGGAGCGAGCTGTCTTCTGTGAAGTCAGGGTTGAAACTGCTTTGCTAGACGCTGAACTGGGAGCTTTTTCTGCTACCAGAAACTTTCCATTCTCCCCTGGCCCAGGAACACGCATACATAGCAATTAAAATTCTGGCTCACTTCTAGGTCAAAGTCAGAAACATCAGTTGTGCAAAGGGACACAGTCCCAGTGAAGTCACCCTGTGTTCACACGGCCCACTTACCCAGGAGGAAGAGCAGGGCTCTCAGCACACGGACCCCCGGGCTCATGCTGGCGTTGGGCTCCCAGCTCCGTCAGCAGGCACAGCGAGCTGTGTGACCCAGGCTCAGCCCGGGGACAGGAGCTATGATCTCTGTGACGGATGAGGAAGGAAGCCACCCCCACCGCCTCTCGGTTCCTCTGGGCTTCTCTGAGGACAGAGCGAGGCCAGCCCTGGGGTGTGACCTCTGCCAGGTGGTGGGAGGGGGCATGGGAGCTGAGAGTCCCAGTGGGGTGGACATTGGTCCTGGGTTGTGACCTGCAGGTCTCCCCACAGGATGGGGCGTGGACACCCCACCTGGTGGGGTGTGATTTGTGCCCCGGGTCCTATGTGATGAGGCTCAGGGGAGGCCAGGGGCGCAGCAGGCTGCCTTGGAGTCAGCCTTTCGGCATTCCACTGCCTGGGGGGGCGGGGACAGGAAGTGCCCGCCCCATCACACCCGAGACCTGGACCTCACCAAATATGGGAGACCTTTGCTCTTCCCAGAAAGACAGTTTTAAATAAACTAAAACATGCGGGGATTAAGAAGTTTAGAAATAGCGAAGCTGTCGCTGAAATGTTTTTATTTTAATTTTTTGATCACGATTTGTATTGGCGTCTGTTTGTAGCACATATTCATCAGGTTCCTCCTGGCGACTTAGTGCAGGTTTGTGACACATCTTTGTTTATCCTTCTTCCTCTTCCTTGAATCTGATGCACAAGCTTAAATGTCATGTATTCTCTCGTGTGAATAACCCAACGCATAAGTACGTTAAGGAGCAAAGTGAAAGATAGGTAACAGGAAGCAAGGATTTGGATCTTTTGCAAGATGGAAGTGTGTTAAAAAGCTCTTAGAAAGCCAAGCTGTGATACGAAAGATCTGTCTCCTTCATCCACGCAGTTAGCAGCAGGACACCATGGCAGATGAGGTCACCGCCACTCTGAGGCTGTGGATAAGAATAAAGGACATTTCAAGATGCCCGGAAGTGGGGTCCCCGGGGGCCAGTAGCATCGTGGAAGTCGTTGTGCTTGGTCCGGGGCCAGGACCTGTGCGCTGTTAAGGAAACTGCGCTTCAGTTCCAGGGCATAGAGCAGAGCTGCGAAATCCTCTCCCACCAAATTCACAGCCCCAGGTCCAGCTGTCCCCTCTGGAGAGCTGAGGTCATCAAGCCAGGCTCCACCAGCAACTGGGGTCCACGTTGGGAGTGAAGAAATGTCACTTTTTAAAGTGTAAATCAACTTCATGGTAAGTTATGATCCCTCCAAGTGAGTCAGGACTCAGGACTGGGAAACCTGAACCCCTTTAGTCTGGGCTCCCTGACCAGTTCCCTAACAGCAGCTGCCAGCTCACGCACCCTGCTTGCCATGCCTGGCGCTGTCCTAGGATGTGACACTTATTTGACACTGATCGTGGATTTGTGAGCTGGTTTAGAGGGAGAGAAAAAAGCTCAGAAGCATGGGACACTCCTAGGCTTACAGGACTGTGCTAGGTACCTCGGCCCTCCGCTGACAGCCTGCATCATGGGAGAGGGACATCTGGGGACAGACATGCATGGGGTTTTTGGGTGACTTCATCTGTGCTCATCCTGAGCCTCATGTGAATCATGGTCTTACCACAGGGAGGCTGCTTGAACAGTGCAATGCATTCTCTCAGCAGTGCACACCTCTGCTCCGGAAAACTAGAAACCACCTGCAGAGGCTTGGCCCAGCTGTGCTCCGAGAAGGGACTGGTCTGCGGCATAACCTCTGCTTTTCAGCTGCTCTGGAGTCCCAAGTTGCAACTCTGCTGCCTGCAAGGTGGGAGAGGTGCAGGGGCTCCAGGTGCCCCTCACAGGAATCCCTCAGGACCTTGCACCTGTCCAGGTGGGGCATCTCAGGTTGACACCCAGCTGGAATACCTCAGGCGACATCTGGTCAGGGAACCTGGCATGATGTGATGCCCCAGAAAGTGCTCATTTTTAATGAATGCCAGGGGCTGCTCCTGCTATAGACAGGTCTTTGGGAGACAGGGACAGAGCACCTTACATGGCCCAGGTGAGCTCCCAGCTGTGTCTGTGGATTCCTTGGCTCACACCCAGCCTCCCAGCAGCCCAGCGGGAACGTTGTAGAGTTCACCTGTGGCCTTGATATCAGGTATGCTGCCAACCAGCAGAGCAAACCTCACTCCACCGGCTCTGACACCCTGCCCTGCCTTTGGGCACCAGAGTGACCTCCAGGACTGTCTCGCTGGGGCTGCTGTCCTTCCCTGCACCTGCGCTTCAGTCATGGGGCCCCAGATTTCACAGCCGAAGCGGGTGCAACCATCAGACACCATCATCTTGGGAGATCTGGAGATTAAAGGTGGGGGACATGACATGCTCTTAGGATGCACATGCAGAATTTGACAGCCAACAATTAGAAATCAGCCGCTCCTCTGGAGCCCCCATGCAGCAACCCCAACCCCACCTCAGAATCCCACATGGCCACACACCAGGCCACCACGCAAGTTTCAAAAGTTTCAAAGCACAGATGACAGACCAGGGTAACGGAATCAGGGCACATTGACAAAAACCTGTAGCCAAATTCCCATAAGTTTAGACATTTGAAAATGTTTCTAAGTAACTCGTACATCCAAGAAAAGAATTACGGCGAAAATTAAAAATAGCTGAACCGAGTGACAAAGTGTGGTCCCTCAGGGTTTGCAGGACAGCAGCAGTGATCAGGAGGAAGTGTTCACCGGGGCGCTCTGCGGCCTGGGTAAACAGGAAGAAGCTGAGCAGCCGAGTTCAGAGACTTGGAAAACAATAGACTCCTGTTCCGCGTCCCCCAAAAAGAGAGGAAAGGGGGGAAAAACCAGAAGAGGAGAGAGTGAACCAGAAATCAAAGGTGCAATAAACAGTAATCAGTATTTAAAATATCTTCTCTTTCAGGGGCTGGGGATTTAGCTCCGTGGCATAAGCGCCTGCCCTGCAAGCAGGCAGTCGTGAGTTCTATCCCTGTTACCGATAAAAAGGAAAAAGACCAAAAAAAATGTATAAAATATCTCTTTCAAAAACAAATACTATGACAACTTCCCACAGAGTGGAGTAAGGAAAAGAGAAGATGATATATATAATATGAAAAATCAAAGGAGCCACGAGGAACAAATCAGAAAAAGTCGTGACACGGTGAGGCAGGTGGTCAGCTGGGGCGGTGAATCTGAGGGCTCTGTGGGTCTCGGAAATACAGCTCGCTGGAAAAGACCGGAGGAAAGAGAAGACCAGGGAGTCCTGGCACCTTCCAAAAAGAAACTGCAGAGCCAAACTGCCTTACAGAATTTGATAAAGAAGGAAACTCTAGCATCAACAAACTCTTTGGATGATAGATAGGGAAAGAAGGAAATCCCCCGACTCCTGCTGTGAGGCCCACCTAACCCATTTCCCCAGCCAGGCAGACAACCCCATCAGGAGCACAGAGGCTGAAATCCTCAGTTAACAAAACGCGGATGAGAGGCGGGGCGTGGGGCAGGGCGCTAGTGGCTGAGCACTTGCCTGGCAGGTGGGAGACCCCAGGTTCATCCCCAGGACCCAGCCCTCAAACTCCAGCCAGAAATGAATGAGCTCAGTCCACAGAAAAGCATTCGAGCAAGTCCATCAGCCTTTCACAACAAAAACTCCAAAGAAACTTGGAATAGGCTAGAACATCCTGAAATTAATGAAATCCAAGAAGTGACATCAAAAATCATGCCTACCACGAGTCGCACCAATTCAGGGTGTTTAAAATTAGGATCGAGACCAAATGTTCTGTATCATTGTTTCTATTTTGGGTTAACCAGGGTCCTAGTTAGGGCACATATTTTCTTTTTTAAAAAGGAATACATAGAGAATTGGGAAGGAAGAGAAAAAAAGAAAAAACTACCTTTGTTTACAAAGAAATTCCCTGAGACTGAAAGACTACATGCTAAAGTAATAATATGGCTGGACACAGGGTTGTTTTAAAGAATTTGTATATACTAGCAATAAACAAAAAAACATTTTAAGGAATTAAAATTATGTAACAATCATGGCACAATGTATGCATATTTTGAAAGAATGTGTCGTACCTGATAAATATATACAATTTCTGTCAATTAACTAAATAAAAAGAAATAATAGTAATGATAACCTTGTCAAATATATGTAATACATATACCTCATATATGCATTTTTATCTTATATATCACAGTCTCAAAAGGGTTGCTCAAGAATCATATGGAGAAAACAGTACACAGCATTAAAACATTTAAAATAAAAAACGTCATTTTGGGTAGGAAAGTTCAAAACTTAGACTTTGTCTTTGTTACTTTTCTCTGAGGCTCATGCTCATCTTCATTGGTAATCAGAGAAATGAAAATCAAGACCATAATGAGACATCCTTTTAATTTTGTTTTTAAATTTTTTTTATTTTAAAGAGGGTAAAATTAAGCATAACAAAACAGGTCATAAGAAAACAATTTAAGAAACATATTTCAAAGCAAGACCTCCAGAGATCTTTACTGTCTATCATATTGTCTCTTGTTTTCTTCCAAATAGTTGTCCATGTCGTCACAAAACAAAATAGTATAGAACTGATAGAACAGGATGCTGAAGGTATTTTAGGTCTTCAAGACTAGACAATACGGAAGTCAACAATGGCTGCCATAATGTCTCTTGGTCTCTTCAAAATAGCTGTCCATACCCTCATGTATGTTGAAATTAAACAAAAGAAAACAGACTCTGAACAGAGAATAATAGTATTGCTAGATTTTATATCACGATGCTATGGAATTAGCACTGGGTATCTTAGTGTCTCTTTTTCTTCAAAGTGTCTTTTCATTATATTGTATATTATATAATCAGTTCTCGTAAACTGTTTAGAAGTTTTACACATGCATGAGTCTTTACATGTATATCTATCCTTTCTGTATTAGAGGGAAAAACAAATCAAAACAAGACAACACAACAAATTCCTAGAAAAACACGAAATGAAAAAGACATATAAAACCACAATATTAGGTGATTTATAGTAATTACTGTGATGTGTCCTGTTATTTTCAATAGAATTGACTATACCATCAGGCATAGTATAATTGAACATAGCAGTACAAGCTTTAAGCCACGGGCCTCCTGTGAAGGAGCACAGTTCAAGGATGCATTGAACAAATGCATATGGATGTATACAATAATATATAAGGATGTGCGCCATCAAGCTTTAGGAAATTAAAAATCAAAATAACGAAAAGACGGGAACTAACCTACACTGGCATCTGCGGGTGAGGGTGTGCCAGTCGACACAAGTCCTCTGGCTTTACTGCATTGCTTGTCTTTCAGTAAACATCCTGTGCAGACACTACTTCCTGGCAAGAAAGAAGAGAATCGTTGTAAATAAACGTGGTCAGCGGCTACTTCCCCCTTGTCCAGATTCTTTGGAACTCAGTGTAC